TCGACTAGTACAATACTTGTCATAGTTTATTGTAAAGTATTTGAAATAAAATTGTTAAACACTTTATCTAATAATTTATTGTTTTTTAAAACATTTTTTCTTAATTGTTATTGATTGTTTTAGCTAGTTAAAATTTTTTAATTAAGCACCATGTTATAATTAGTTCTTAAAACAATTTTGTTCAAGAATAATAATCCGTTGAATTTTTTGAAATAAAAAACAAAAAAATATATTTCAAAAATCAAAAGTATCTATGCCCAAATCCGGTGTACAATAAAATTTCGTTGACAACGAAATAATTGTAGAGCGTGTAACTGTATTACAGTGGCTTCGAAACCCACACGGGCTTTTGTAATTTACAAGATGCGCGTAAATTATTTTGATTGTATGAAATTTTTCACGTATTATCCGATTCGTGGAAAATCTACGTAGTTTGATGACTCATGGTCGTGCATTGTAATAGCGCGAGTAGGGGAGGAGGACGAAGCAGCAGAGAAGATGCAACAGCCGAGGGGGAGTGACAGGCATGAGGATGAAGAGCGAAGCGTTGATTGTATGCAATTTAAACTTCGGAAGATAACGAAGGGGATTGAGCACTCTGCTGTCTTTTTTTTCAAGAGGAATCGAAAATAAAAATTGCTTTATTGTAGAAGATAGCTGAGTATTGTTTTTTTATTTATTTTGCACATTCCGCTGCAGGGAACCTGTGCTCTATACGGATCAAACTGTACGCGACAAACCACTTGTTTCACGTACATGTACTTAGTCGCGCGAGTCAAAAATAAATTTAAAAGAACGCGGCTCCTTTCGGCGCGTCGAATCGAGCGTGAAATTTTCAAGCTCGAATCCCATTTGCCGGTCGAGTGCTTTCCGACAAACGACCTCGAGGTGGAGATCACTTATCACCGGATTTGGCCTTAGCGGAGGATTATTCGACTGAGAATACACTTTGGCCTTGTCCTTTTTCACGATAACGTCGAAACTTCGAGGCGTCGTTAGGCCTCAGATCATAATACACATGACACTTGGTTTTTCCTCCACAAATATTTATATTCTTCTCAACAGGTGTTAAACAATGTGACATTGACTACGAATTACCAGAGTGTACCTATTGTGAGATGATTGTACGCGATAATTTGACGCTGCAGAATCGCACGATTTAGCAAGTGTAATCATCGTCTACGAAATTGAAGTGGATAACGAAAAAAAAAAAAAAGTCCCACAAAGGGGGATACATGTAGTCGTGCACGTGCCTTTGTAGATCAATGAGCGCTAATGTTCGCTCACGAACACGTAATTTGTAATGGAGTATCGGAGAGCCTCGTATAGAGCGAGAGAGTATAGGCACCAGAGTAGGTATACATTATACAAGCCGTGGAAAATCGATCGGCTTTTTTTTTTTTGTACTTTCTCTAAGTACTGCCACAGCCGAGTTTTCCATTTCACCTCCGAGCGGAAAATCTGGTTTAAGCCGAAGATAAACACGGAAGTTGCCAATGTCAAAGGCACGGCGACGCCAACGAGGAGGAGAACTCGTGAACAGTAAAAGTTTCGTGTATATATATACCCCCAGCCAACTTTGGTGCACAGCTTCCGTACCGATAATTCCTGCATTTTCTTACATATACGTATGTTGCACACACTCGGTCTCTCGCGAGCTCATTCGTAATTCCAGAATGGAACAATTTGCCACTGCCGGGGGAACGACGCATAACGTACAATAATGCGGCCCTAAACTGCCTCCGTAATTACGACCGCTGGCGATAATCTACCCGATCTAACGTCCCGTAAAATTTTACGGATCGCCTGTGCGCGCTTTAAGTACGCGCTGAATTTTCCAAGAATCGGGTCCGGCTTCAACGCGCCGCAAAGTGGATTTTCGTTCGCCGAGTCGGTGAAATCGAAATTACCCCACTCGATCCGTATATGTGCGTTATGGATAAGTATACGTGGTGTGTTCGATTTTCGGTTGAACATGCGCGGGAACGTGAACATTGACGACAAAGTTCGCGTTTTGCACAAACGTCATCGGAGAGGGGACGATCAGCGTCTTGAAAAGGGAAATCCATTCGTAAACGGCGAAACGCTTGCGCTGCCAATTGAGTTTTGCCAACTTGCAACTTTTCAATTATAATTCGATTGCATTCGGAATCCCATTGTTTTTACCGAGCGATCAACGACTCGGCCTCATTATTTTCAGCCAAGGTGGAATCGCGTCGATTACAATTAACGTTGCGTAATGTATTGTCACTATACCCATACAAATGAACCTCTACAATTTTAAAAACAATTTTTCTTGTTCCTCTTTGCACGTATACTTTAGGAAAACTTGTATGACGATTCGTGGAAAAAGGTTAAAATTCCTCGCGGCAAAATGTCCCAGGACAGCACACCGTCGGGTAGTTTTCCTGTGCAGGACCGGGCACACCATTAGTGGGAAAATCTACAGTACCTATAGTCCTATAGGAATTATAGAAGCCAAAGCTCGAACTATAGGTATATACACGTGTGGGACGAGAAGATCCAAAGGAGCAGAAGAAGATCACGAGGCAAAGGAGAAGACGAGGACTACGTGAGGGGGGGGGGAAGAAAAAAAATAAGGAGGACGAGGAGAGAGAAGAAGAGCTAATAAGAACCAAGGAGGATGAGGCGCAGGTATAAGAGCAAGAGGGAATCCTATACACATATATATATGTATGTGTGTGTGTGTGTGTGTGTGTGTATATATACGAAGAAAGAGAGAGCATCAGGCGACTTTGCGGTCGTTTGCCTTGGATCGAGAGAGAAAGAGCCGCGGCAACGAGTCGCCTTTTGCTACAAGCCTCCACATATGCACGTGTATATATATATATATATACTTGCACATAGCGTCGTCCGAAGAAAGAGGTGTATATATATACATACGTACACACGTAGGTATACCTGTAGGGTGCAAGGGGACGTAGAAGAGGAGGCTGTGCGCGCAAGAAAGAAAGAAAGGGAGAGAGAGAGAGGAGCCGAACCCGATCCCGATTCCAATCCGCGGTGGCCGGTTTCCGGCGCGTGCATTCCTCCGCCAGCCCGAGCCAAACCGATCGCCGATCTTCGGCTCGCTTCGGCTTTTTGCAGCGGCTCTCATACATACACACGTCGCACACACGTGTCTGCGTGTATGTATATATATATATAGGCACAGCGGCGAAAGAGAGAGGAGAGGGAGGAGGGACGCGGTAGCGGTTCACTGCTCGCTCTTTCTTCTCTCTCGCAGCTTCTTATGCCGGTTTTACGATCGCGATCGCGCCAAAGTCGCCGTGGCTCGAGGAAGCGAGTTGCACACGCCAACTGCTACACGTACACGAAGAAGAGCGTTTTTCCTTCCCTTGAGCTTTTCACGGGACAGCTTCTCCACGGCTTTTCGGAGGAAAGACTGTGCACCTATTTTGGGCTTTGCTCGTTTTTATCAACGATCTACAACTCGTGCATCCGAAAATCATCTCTCTCTCTCTCTCTCTCTCACGTAAGATACGTCCGGGGTAAAAGCGAAACTCTTTCTCCTACGTACAATCAAAAGCAGTAAAGATGCGCTAAAGACGCACACACGCGTGCAAATGTACACTCTAGCGCGCGTCTTATCGAAGATGTATAATTTCGGAGAAACTCTTAATTGCTCTTGCGCGCATTGTATTGTAATAGCAGCTCTTAATTGCCAAACGAGAAAACTCTCGCGGATGCCTGTTAAAAAATAAAAAAAATAAAAAAATAATTCCATAGTTTTGCTCGTACCGAAAACAACGGGCGCGGACCACCCGTGAAACAAAGTAAGAATTTAACGTACGCGTGCCTTTCCTACTCCCACAAATAAAAATACATCGCTGGAGCAAACAACCCGCGTCATTTTTTTTTTAATTGTTTTTTTTTTTTTTTGACAACAACGACCCAGTACGTGCGTGTAAAGTGTAGCTCAGGTGGAGAGGCCACCTTTACCAGCTTCTCTCTCGGTTGGCACCCCTCCCCCGCTTCTCTCTCTCTTTCGCTCCTTCGTTTCTTCTTTCTCTTTCGCGCGACTTGTGCGGAGGCGAAGTTAGTCTCGCGTCTCCGAGCACAAGAGCGAGCAAAGGAGAGACGAAACCGACGGCCGGCTGATATATATAAGTATATGCTTACAACACAGGTATACGATATCCCAACGCTGGCGAAGCGAATGAGCCTCGGAGCCGACATGGGCGCCGTGGAGCGAGAGGCACCGCAGTCGCGCATCGGCGCTTGCCCCGAGCGGCAGCGGCGAGACCGGTCGCTCGTTACCTACGATCGATCGATCGATCCTTTGCCCGCATCTTTCAGTTCTTCTTCCTCTTCTTTATACCTACTATACCTGTACGACTCATCACCTGTCTTTGCTCAAACTTCCGTTCGTGTCGTGGATTAACGCCCAAGGTGCTTACTTTTTTGACGCTCGCTATGGCGCTGTGCGTTCAACGATCGGCAAAAATCGGTATGGATTGATCTGCTGATTCCGCGCACCAAACTAAGCTATTTTTCTCAGAGAGGTGTTCCTCGAGCGTGACAGAGGCTCGCCAACAGTGCAGTGAAAACTAACACACGACGAGCAAAGTGGATAAAGTGCTACGGACGCCCCTGTGACTTGTAACTCACATACCTGCGCACGCGGGGCATACTGATTTTCATTTTTTTTTTTCTTATTTGTGTCTTTTTTTTCGGTGCTCTGCTTTCTTTTGGCTCTTTCTCTCTCCCTTTCCGAGATCGGTGCAGCCTAGTGTTCTCTCTCTCTCTCTCTCTCCGCTGGACGCGAGGGAACGCGGATTAAAAGCCCCGCGCGTACCGGTTTTCCATCCCACGTACATAGTTACAACGTACGTAGGTACCCATATATATACATACATATATGTAATATCGCACGTACGCGTAAAGGTACTTGCTACAGTGGTGCTGGTGGTGGTGGTGGTGTTGTTGGTGGTTGTGGTGCATAATATATACGTGCACGGCTGGAGAGAGAAAAATCAGTGATCGGCCCGATAGGGTGGGGGAGGGATAAAAAGAAAGAGAGAGATATAACTACATGTATATTTATTTATATATATATATATGAGAATAAAGAAAAGGCCGTAACTGCAACGGCAGATCAAGTGACTCGCGAGTGGAGAAAAAGACGAGGAGGAGGAGGAGAGATATAAAGAATAAACCGATAAGAGAAACTGCAGCTGCCGATGTTGCTCCACTTGTTGCTTCGGTTGGGTGTTTATTGTAGTATTCGTTGTTATTTCGCTGTGCCTCGGGAAGCTGCAACGTAGTGGAAGAAGCAGAGAAGGAGGAAGAGAAGAAGAAAAGTGCAATATATACCTCCGTATAGACGACCAACACACGGGGCTCTGAATGGAGCAACTTCCCTGAATCAACAGGTAGGTCACGAAAGCGAATGGGGGGGGAGAAAAGGGCGTAGGGCGGCGCTACTGCGGGTAAAGCCGAGCTAGGACTCTTTTCTCCCCCCTCCCCCCCCGTCCCTCTCATCTCAACTCCTGCAGCGGCTTTTCTTCCCTCTTTTCCGCGTACAACAATGGTATATACACAAATATATAATGTTAGGTGTACATCATTATTGTTACACGCCGGAGTCTGCGTATGGGGAATGTTTGAGGAACTAAACACGGTGTGCGAAAGTTTTGCCATGTAACGCGCATATACTTAGAGTGTGTAAGTAATTCTTGCGAATTTTTATGCTCTGATTGTACACCTACGCGTGAGCGTTATGTACACGATAATGCTCGGGTCTACCGTCACGTCTGTGTGCGCTATCTGTGGGAATTTACGTTTCAGGAAGCAGGTGTATTGAAAGTATGATGTATATTCCACTCGTTAAGGAACATTTTTTTTTTTTTTTTTCGTAATGCGTGCCGTCTGGCGTGTAGTTGACTCGGCAGAGCTGTTACGAAAATAATGTGCATACACATTTGGATGAAACTCACGTAAATTATCGACTCTTCCAACATCGCGGAGTAAACTTCTTTTCTCTTTTTTTTTTTTTTTAAATCCTCATATTTGGTAGATGCTTTAAAATAACAAAGAAAACAAGACAAAAATCAATCCCTCGGTGCGGAGAAAAAACACACGGTCCCCCGGAAAATCTCGTCGAGCCGAGCCTCGACTTATCACAGGGGTGAGCTTAAGGCCGAAATTTACGGCTCACCAGCCGTAATACTCGGCGACCTTGACAAAGACACGAGGCGCTCGTTTGAAAACATCACGCGAAAGGAAACCCGTGACTTTTTTGTCAACGATACTTTTGGGCGCTACAGCTGCTACATGATGTACACTGGTGCTTCCTACACGTGTATATAATACCTGGAGCCTGGAGGCTGATGAAGCTCCACTGGCGGCCACAGCGTATGTGGGCTCGGTTACGCAACAAGCCCGATCGTATAGAAATTAATCGATTATGGAATCCTTGGGGAGGTGCTCCCGAACTTTTGCGAACCCAACAAAGCACGGAGTCGTAATGTACAACGCATACATGTACAGAGAAAAGCGAGACGTATATCTTTGAAGATGAGATCGCGTATGACATGCAATTGGTGGTTTTATTGCCCGTGGATGGAAAAAAAAAAAACAAAAAAAAAAAACCAAAGTCTCGTCGATACTGCCAGAGTTTGACAATAAGCTTCGAGGCATGTACCGAAAGCTATACGTGTTACGTCTCGAAAAGTGGACTCCCACGCCAGGCGTTGCGCCGATATTTCCGAAGAACAGTCGTATAAATGTACATGGGAACAGGGGACCCGGAATAAATACATATTAGTTTGAGGACCGCTTGGAGCGGCGCTGTGTGTACGAAAAGAAGTGCATGGGCGCCTGTAGGGGCAACGCGGCTCCGTTTATAATGACCAACGAAGCGAGGGTCGGTGGTGTATATATATATATGNTTTTTTTTTTTTTTTTTTCTTTGGATACGAGCTATCGGCTCACGCGAGCGCAAGAGACCCGAGGGAGAGAGGAATCCTTTCCGGTTCGCTGCTGCGGAGGCGTGCGAGGAGAGCGTTTCGTGTATATATGGATATATACATATATATATATATATACGGGGCAGGAGCAACAAAATATTATGCAGCGCGGCGATCCTGTAGAGCACCCCTCTCTCTGTGAGGTATATATGTGAGTACACCCACAATAGGGGACACAAAGTCATATATATATATACATCCTCCCCCTAACGTATATTTATATGCTCTGCTGACGACTTGGTGCTTCTGCAGCATCATGAGGCAGAACTGCATCAGCCGGCATATGGATGCAACGAGAGCCATACAGTCAGCATATCACAAGAGCTCATGTATATATACAGATACCTGTGGCTCCTCTCTCTTTCCTTACTTATATATATATATATATACCTCAGCTTAGAGAGCACACAGGCAGGTATAGGTATATAGAAGAGAAATACGTGTGTAAAATGTATACACGTATATATATATATATACACACAAGCGGGTTTACACTCCAGGAGAGCAGCAGCCGCTCTTCTCTTCCTCGAGGCGGTCGCCAGTTTCTCACGCCTCGGGTGTATATATGCCCCCCTTCTCCCCACCCCCGCCCAATCTCTCTCTTTCTCTCGTTCCACGTGTATATGTATATATATCCTTTTCTCGCTCGTTCACTTTGTATACGTGCAGCGCCGATTTGATTTTTCGATTTTCGCGATATTGGCCTTTCCGCGAGTGTTTGGCACTCTTATCGCGGAAGGAGGGAGGCGGTGTCGAGCACGGGGAAAAGAGAGAGCAGATCCCCGCGGTTGGACCGGCGCGATTATACAATTTGTCGCGGCTCGGTTTTATTGGAGGCACGGAGAGGTGCTTTTCGTGGAGCTTTCGAGGACCATACCTATGCGGAATAAGCTCCTGGAAGGGAGCTGTTTTCGTCGTCTCCGACTCGGTGGATGCACCGGGAAATTATCATATACACACCCACTATGGGGCACGTAGAATTATAGAGCACGCGTGAGAGACACTTGTTTGCCGTATCGCGAATTCCAGGCAAACGTAACGTATAATGCATGTGTTCACAGTTGGCTCCGGTTGGCTCAGCTGTGTCTTACTTGTGAGTGCGTTTTCAACCGTTTTTGGATGATTTTGTGGGTTTTAGGTTCCCCTGCTTGTAAGTCCAATGAATTTCTATAGTTTTCTCGAGTGGGTGCAATTGAATCGTCACAGAGCAGCTTTTTTTTTTTTTTTTTTTTCTCCGCGTTGGGATTCAGTGACAAAACCTTTTGATTTTTCCAATAAGTATACCTACGTTGTCACAATCGAGACACTATCATTGCGAGGCGAAAATCCATCTTTTCCGTGAGGACCGCCCCGTGGAACAGTACAAGATAATTACACGACTGCTCATCCACGTCCACTTTGCCGGCGTCGCCGTTGACCGCGTAAAAAAAGCCGCTCCTGTTACCGCTGCCGTATACACAACACCGGCAGCCGGTTTTCGCGCTGTATATATACTCGCACGTCGAAAATGCCGGGAGAAGAGCATCAACCAAACAACATAAAGAGCAGCAAAAGTGCCTAGCTCCGTATACATATAGGCTGATGGTGAAGTGTATACGTTGTACATATGGACAGGCGCGATAAACGCTCTACCCGTATAATATGCTGTGGTGCATAAATATAATACGATGACTGAAGGTGGCGGCTTTGGCGCTCGTTAATGCACACGTATACATATTATATAGGTATAACCGTACACGCACGCGTTGGATGCGCCGGCTCGCGCTTCCGCCTTCACTCGCGCTATCACGTAATACGTATAATACACGTAGCCCCTTTACGTGGACGAGCTAAAATAGCTCAGCTCTCGTATATGTATATATGTGTACTTGATCATTTTACTTATGTGTATACGGTATTATAGGATGTACCTATGGGCGCAGGTGCACGTGTAATATTATGTGTACAGGGGTTCCTTCCGCCCCCTTTCTTCCATTCCTCCCTTTTTTTTCTGCTCTTCTGTATTCCCCCAAGAGTTGGTTTCTCTCTGTGTGTGTGTGTGTGTTGCTGCGGTGCAGTGGGCGACAGGAAAGGGAGCTCCGCCGGTGCTGAGTAACGACGCACCGTTACGATTCCGCGTGAGACACCCGGAACCTGAACTACGACGACGGCCTCCCTCCCTCCCTCTGTGGTGCCAGCAAGAAAGAGACGCGTAGGCACGGTCCGTCTCTCTCGGATTTCTCTCCCTTACCGGTTTTCGGGTGACGACAACCATCAGACGAGACGAAGAATTTTCGTGCACCTTTAACAGCAGGGGTTGCAGGCGTGCGGCTCTTTTCTTCGTTCCCTTTCCCTTTTTTCCCTTTTCCTCGAAAATTTTTGCAACCGCCGTGTACAGATACGGCACGTCGTCGATTTTTTTTTTTTTACGAGCCAACGAACGAGTTTTCCACCGATTATCGGATTATGATATACTCGTACAAAACACAGCGCCCGAGGTGTGACTCACGCTGATAAGGGATATATTACGCGGACGTAACGAAAGGTATTTTCTTAGTCACGCGCCGTGTAACACTGTTCTCGCAAGGCCAGTTACATTTCATCGGTACATATATACATATACACCTACAACGCTCCGGAGAGAGAGGAGTTAAAAAAAAGTCTTGTACCTATAGCGACAGAACAGCCGAGCAAGGCAAAATGCGGTCGTTTCCGAAATAACGATCTAATTGCACGGGGGCGCTGATCTATACGTATTTTTGGGCTCCAACAAAAAAACAAAAAAGTGGGGTTCCTTGGAAAAGGAAATCGAAATAATCAAACGGCACGTTGAACTCCAACGAGACGCGCAGCTAAGTAAAAAAAAAAAAAAAA